ACGACCTGAACTCAGCACTAGACGGGCTGCGGGAAGTCATGCCGTACGCTCACGGTCCGTCCGTCAGGAAACTCTCCAAAATCGCCACGCTGCTGCTGGCCAAGAACTACATCCTCATGCTCAACAGTTCCTTGGAGGAGATGAAGCGGCTCGTGAGCGACATCCACCCCGCGCACCGCGCCAAGCTGCCCGCTCACCCGACTCTGACACCGCCCTCTCTACCGGGACTCCATGGGCCAGCGTTTTTCCCTTCCCCGTCGCAGATCCCGCACAGTCCCCTGAGTCACCCGCTAGCGTCCCGGGCGAGCCACAGCGGACTTCTCCTCAGACCGGAGCACCAGCACGACCGCAGCCCCTTCTCCAAGTGGCCGGTCCCCTGCTCGTGCCCGCAGTGTCCCACAGACAGTGTCAACCGGGTACCGTTCGGGAAGCACCCTGCGTTCACGAGATGAGAAAAGTCACGGACTCAGATTATTTCTAAACGTAAGATGTAACTCCACTACCGAACTCGGTTCTACAGTACTAGTTCTGAACTTGTCTACACACTCAGAACTTTCTTGCCGATAGTGTTTTGCAAAAAGGAGAGCGACGCGGCAACATCTTCATAGTAAGTTTCTGCTGACATACTGTCAAAACCGGGCTCTAAATTGCAAAGGTATACGTATTTTCTACAGAATTTATTCGTGTACCGCAATATTAGACTCTCTCAGTCTCTGTGAATGTATATCATTGTCTGTCAAATAATTCAGATCAGTAACTGTATTGCTGAAGAAGTTCTGTACATAGCAAGATCGGACTAACTTTGTACATATGTTATTGTATATTTTGAGAGTTGAAAGACGTCACAAATATAAATATCGTTTGAGTATATCTGTTGTTGTGTTTTATCATCATTGTGCATCCTTTTATACGTGTAGGTATAGATGTGATGAAGTGTTCTTCACACAAATTAAAGTAAATTATTCGAAGGGGCATGTTGAGTTTTACTTTGATATCGTAGGAAACCACAAAGTCCGATGCCCATCCAACTATAGTTTTCACTACTACAAATTCATTTAAACACATTCCAATGATTGCCGTTATATCATACTAGTATATAATGTGCTGCGGGAAGTTTCGGAACTTGTATGGCTGGCTAAATTATTACAACTATAGTTTTCAGTCCGTCAACTTCTATGGTCAGTTTTCGCGGATAAGTAGACTTTTGACATGATATTTTCCATTGCAAGTACTCGTAAAATGTGCAGTTCAGAAGCGAAGCAGAAGCCTTTTCATATTACAGCAGCAAGATAGCCCTTGCCTTGTTTGCGAAAGTCGCATAGACTGGTGCGCTGTGACTATGAGTAAACATCTACAGTTTACAGTGACCAAGATGGTCCTGTTTGATGTAGACTTTAGAATATTGAATCACTTTTGCGGTAAGTGTCATCGAGAAAAGTTCTTTGTCAAAGAAAGTGTACTGGTGATGGTAGCGATAATGTTATAAAAATAGCCCCCATGGTTCTGGCAGTTGTGCAAGCCTAGATATTATACTTTGTACAAGTCGTGTAAATGTTTATATAGCTTTCCTTCCCTTGCCGGATTTAATCTACTTGATCGTCAGCGTTCGTTTTCTTTTATCTTTCTCTTTTTTTCTGTTCACCATCCTCCAGTTCCCGCTACTGTCACGTTTTCTTTCATTCCCAAACACCGGTGCCCCGTTAACAAGACAAAATGCCACGAAACTCCCGCCGTCTTCCCCACAATGGACAAGTGCGGCTGTTTAAGGGAAGCAGATGTGCATTAGAGCGCTAACGAGGGTTACATATCGCACCCGCGGATAATGACAGGTTGGACGGGCAGGTCCCCCTCCGCGCCGAGCCCCGGCTCCTCTGGAGTTTTTGTTGTTGTATTGTTTGTTTGCCGCTTTCTTTTCGCATTTTTTTCTTCTTTCCATGCGGTTTTAGGAAATGAGGCATGTTATAGTTTGGAGAAGGCATAACCATACCTTGAGCGAAACGGTATGAATGCGATACACTCCAACATATTTATGCGGTTTTAGGAAATGAGGCATGTTATAGTTTGGAGAAGGCATAACCATACCTTGAGCGAAACGGTATGAATGCGATACACTCCAACATATTTTACAGTTTTGCTCAATTTTAATGTTTAAGGAGATAGGTTGTAAAATGTTTAGAGACTTTCTTGACCATTTTAAATTGACAATTTTTTTAGTTTGTATGAAAAACAACAATTAGCACATAGACGTTAGCAGTTTATACTGGACAGTATCAGACACAAGAGCGAACATTCCAAGAGTGCCCTGTTAAAATTAGTTTGATTAACAGCTATATACTGTACCTGCATTTCGTTATACTCGCCATTTTAAAAGAAATATCGTCATTCATGGTTGAAAATATAAAGAATAGAGCAAAGTTTTGCAAAAGATAATATTCCACATTTTGACAGGTTTCTGAAATTTTCTTCGAAATCAAATGAAATTCCATTTTGTGAGAATCATCCAAAATAGCTCAACCATAATTCGTTGTACATACCTTGATGCACCTATTAAGCTTGGCAAAAGAAAACTGCGCACTAAGATGACTTTAACAATGCTAATAATAACGGAAATTATATGAAAAGTTTGACAGGACGTCCCACACGGCGGATGTCATCTCGCCATGACCGTTTATCCAATTATCCAGAAGCGTGACCATCACCGCGTGTCGCACAGCCTCATGGGACGTCAATATCACTTGGGGACAACGTCAGCCGACATTTCCTTTGTCGGCTGGATTTTAGGTAAACTCTGTGGAATATATTAAACACCCTGCCATGATCGGTCCTGTTTCCAGCTGAAAATGTCGAAATTCTGCTTTATTCTGATTCTACATTTGCAGCGTAGTGGTTGAAATACATGTATTGACTGTCAAAGATACATCAATAACATGGGCGATACTTTAAGTTCGAAAGTAGCTGAAGGGACACTGTAATGCATTTAGAACTTGCATGGGATTATGGGAGATGTAAAAGCACATTCTCATACTACATAGTCTTTGGTAAGGTAGATCAGTTTCATAGCATGTTTGCTGTTAGGTAGCAGTAGATGTAATACATTGTATCCTGTACAATTGTTGTGCAATAAAGTTTTACTATATTCATTACATTGCAATGTTGTCATCACACTTTAAAGAGCCTATTATTGATTTAATCGGTCGATCAACTCTAGATAGGTGTTGGAAAGTCTTACTTTCGACATGCTGTAAACTCAGCCATGTCCGTCATCTTGCCATGGTTTTATCCCAAAACTACCCTCTTGGATCCTGTACTCGTTTAAAATATTGTAACCTCAAATATGTCCATATATTGCTTTACCTGAACGAAATATTTGCCCCACGAGTTGTTCATGGTTTCCAAACAGTACTGTGCATAGCCGACTGAGGTAGCGATTTACTTTGTAACTTCCGAAACTTCATACGGTCACGTTACAGAAGCTGTCCGCCAGAAGACTAGAGGACAAAGATGCAGCTCGGATCGTTCTTCAACTTCTTCTCCCTCTAAATACCGCAGCGGGACCTTCCTACCTTTCACAAAAGGTCAGGCCTTCTCTCTCTACCAGCGGAATGCCGCCAAAAGTTGAGCCAAGAGCGCAGCGAAACGACCAATGTCCAGCCTGTCAGCGAACCTGAAGCGGACAAAGAGCGACAAGGAATACGTCTTCAGAGCTGCCACTCCGCGTTACAAACTCGCCACGGGGAGCGATACCCTACTCACACGGAGCAGCTGGTTTCCAAACGGTCCAGAACTGGACGTTTTGTTGTTGTTCAAAAGTAATTTCTGTCCACCTAGGTAAAATATAACACCGCGGTTCCATCCACAAGTTCATCTATCGAAGCAAAACGATCTCACAAACTTAGGAGTGTGGTTCACAAATATTTGGTTTTGGGACAAGAAGGACGATTTGGTGACAGGGGTTTAAGAATTGAATTTCAAAAGAAGTCTGCTTAGCATGCAAACAGATGGTGTTAGAAACAAATCAAACAGACATGGACTTTTATTGTGAGTACAGGTTGAATGTGTCCTTATTCGTTTTTTCGTTCATAAGGCCATGGCTAATCATCCTCGTCTGTTTCTTGGTCCGATACAATAACGTTAACGGTTTCAATCTTTGACTGGCAAAAAATCTGTTGTATAATTTCTTGACTTGCGAGAATCAAGGTAATCTGAATCTGAATTGCATAACTGCGACTTAAATTTTCAAGCCAGGATTCGAACCTATGCCCGTTTGATCAAGGAGCTCGACGCTATACCACCACACGCTACATATGTATATGAGTCTGAAATTATCAAAATACATCTACTGTAACTTTGCCAATAGCAACGCTGCACACACGAATGCTGCTTTATGTGTGTCCAAGGAGCTTAAACAATATAACGCCCTTAGTGTGTCGACGTCTTAAAAACCGTTTTCAAAGTTGGTAGATCTTCAACGATGGAAATGACGCTCTGTTGCGGATATTGGACGTGATGGCCCCGTACTTACCTCATTAGCACCCCGGTATGCCCTCCCCGCGTCCCCCCCGACACCTTTAGCCGTGGAATCGATTCTACACGGGTGTAAAGGGAGCCAGACTGTGGTTTAAATCTCCACCGCCTTCCCAGGACACAACCATACCGGGCACAGACCCAAACCTGCCGCCGCACAGGGCCGCTCGTCTGTCTCCCTACCACATGCTGTATCCACGGTAACCCGGGGTGGAATATGTATAAGCAGGGACATTATTCAGAATATCCTTGGTATAAGCTAAGAGAGTCAAGCAGAAGTTCATTCCGGGTACAGCCAATACTGTATGCATGCAGTACCTGGAAATCAAGTTCTGAAAGTATAAAACGATATTTTACCAGCTCGTATGAAGATGAATAAGAGTATGGAAATATATGTGTACAAGCCGCAGAGTCTTTTAAACACATTCTGAGGTTACATCTAATCTTTAGGATACGTTGTCTTACTTTTACATCGATGTGTTCATACGCGAATATTAGCTGTTGCATTGCATATACTTGTACGTTTTATTGGAAAAAAGAATATGCAATCATTTTTAAGATCTTTTACTTCTCAGAAATCTTCAATGATTACTGGAGCATCTTAAAACATTACGAGTCCCTATTAAGATTGTATCATTAAAGCACTACGTTATATACTTACATTGGTTCTACTGTTAATAATAAATATCTAGATATCTTCTATTTTTCTCGACGTTTCCGCGACTTCCCGCGCCGTTGTTTTGTTTCCAGGTAGCGGCGGTTGTTCCGAAGTATTCCGACATTTGAACTTCCATTTCTGCGTGACCAATCGCTTTGCGTGTGTTTTCCCTGCGTACATTTATCTCCTATCCAAGCCGACTATGGACCCTGTCACTCCCTGTACACCGCTGTTAACTAATGTACACCGACGGCACACCATGCCTAATCAACGCTTTGCCGCCATCATTTACCATAGAAGGAAAATATATATGCTCAACCATAGGCTATTGTTACAGTGAAACTATGCAATGCCCTTCCCTGTTTCATTTTCTTGTCCCTTACTGTTCAGAATTAGGTTTTTTTGTGCCAACTCTTTGGCTTTGTTCATCACTTATAATACATGGACTTTGGTAGTTGAAAACTTTAACTAGGGCCCGCAAGCTTTCTAATAAACGCCCCTTAAGGGTGCTGAAAAATGAAATCTTAAGCGTATCAAAGAGTGTTTGTTTGTTTGTGTGCTTGTTTGTTTCTTTTGTTGTCATTCTTCAAGTTATTTTAGATGGACTTCATTCGGTTATCAAGCTACCATATACATACCATATACATTTCTAGCCG